GTCATATATAAATATGTTTACATATGTATGTGCCTGGGTTTAGACCTCTATAACTGCCCTTTACCTCCTAGTTACTTCCTCTATTTCCTTTTACTTTCCTCTTGTTCCACAGTCATGTCCAACCTTCATTTGGTTTCATAATTCCTCTCGGTTACATTGCCCTTGATCAAGCCCTACCAGGCCGCCTACACCGTCCTCGCCATCGATTTTGGATCACTTGTTCCCTTTCCCTGGTTTTGGTAATACCCACTTCCTTTACCCCACCTCACTCTCTCCATTGTTTCCCTGGAACTGTCTGTCCTGTTGTTTTCTCCTCTAGATTGTTTATCCCACACCTATCTTATCTAGATAGACCTGCAGAGATAATAAGATGCACAAAAAACAAGACAGAGTAAAACAATGCAACAAAAGAAAACAAAACAAAAACCAAAGACCTAAAAAAAAAGAAAAACCTGTAAATAGTGCAAGATCTGTTTGTGGACCTTTAGGAGTGTTTTCCAGTGGAGTTTGATGGGGTGTCATGCCCTGGCTTCAAAGTGTATTTTTGGTATTCCCTGGTGTAGATCTCTTTCATTCTGGCACTGTTCCCCTTGCTGTTCTGTTGCGCACCCTTATTGTTTCGCCTCAGTGGGGTTGGGTCAGATCAGGCGCAATTCCCGCACTGTGTCTCCAGTGTTGTCCCTGTAGCACTGTGGGTCAGTGAGGGACATTGTGTCTCATAGTAGGGCCATCCCTATGGTCCTCTCTGTGCTTTGGCTGCTCTGAGTGGAAATATCGTCCTCAGGGTTTGGTGGCCAGGATGTGTTCCCGTCTTTCTTCCTCTCCCTTCATTTGCTCCTGTGTGCTCTGATCAGACATGTCCCTCTCCCTGAGCTATAGGTTCACTGCTATTCTCTGAAGTGAATTCTTCTGTGGGGAGGTGGGACTGTCCTCGTAGTTCGGCTTGGAGCCGGCCCCTCAGACCTCAAGGATAGGGTTTTAATATGTGAGACCTATATCAATTCAGGCTAGTAGAGGAAATTATCTAAGGCCTTTCAATACCACAATAAGAACTCTGAAAGAGATCTACACCATGTTCCCATTCAAGAATATTCTGGCAGAGGGATTATTTGGTAAGAGAAGGTGAAGTCTGAGGCTCAACAAGTAACCAAAGTAAGGGTTCTGAGTGAAAGCTGCGATAATCACCCACTCTAGAGCAATAGAGGCCCTAATTCTATACCTGATGCCATATATGGGAACTCTGGACAGGACTAGCTGGCTGAGATGACCCTTCACGTATGCCTCAATAAACTCAAGGTGCTAAAAGTTCCTATCTAAAGATATGATATCAAGTCACTTTAAAATGCTGTCCCAAGGCCCTAGTCATATAATAGCCAAGGGAAAGGCCCTATCTGAGACTAAGGAGAATATCCACCCCAGGACAGAGTGATCCCCACAGAGCCTTATCCTGTTACCAGGTGACTTTCGGTAGGGAATGCCGGATGAGGGACCCCTAGGGAGGCCTGGTGGCATAATTTTTACACAGTGGGCTGCTAACCACATGGTCTGCAGTTATAAACCATCAGCTGCTCTATAGGAGAAAGATGGGTATTTCTACTCTCATAAAAAGAGTAGAAACCTGTGTGACCACAAGGTTTCAACGGGATCAGGCATCAGAAGGTTCAAAACAAACAATTATATCGATGTTAACAATTAGTATTGTAGTGGAGACCCAAAGCCCATCTGTAGACAATTGGACATCCTCTTACAAAAGGGTCACAGGAAGGGACAAGTCAGCCAGGGTGCAGTATAGCACTGACGAAACACACAACATTCCTCTGTTCTTAAGGCTCCCCACCCACCCCCATTATCATGACCCCAGTTCTACCTTACAAATCTAGATAGACCAGAATATGTACATTGATACTGATAAGAGCTCTCGAAACATGGAATCCAGGACAGATAATCCCCTCAGAAACAGTAATGGGAGTAGCAAATACTATGAGGGTAGGGGGGAAGGTGGGGGGGAGGATAAGGGAGAGAGAGGGGAAACTGATGGCAATGTTTGATATATAATACCCCCCAGGGGGATGAATAACAGAAACATGGGTGAAGAGAGACAGTGGATGGTATAATATATTAAAATAATAATATATAATTTTTCAAGGGTGGCCGGGTATGGGAGGGAGGGAAAAAAGAGGAGCTGATATTAAGGACTCACATAGAAAGAAAATGTTTTGAAAATGATGATAGCAACGCATGTACAAGTGTGTTTGATACAATGATTATATGGATTGTTATAAGAGCTGTAAGAGCCTTCAATGTAATTATTTTTAAAAAATAATCTTGGAAACTCACGTGGGTAGTTCTACCTTACCCTACAGGGTCTCTATGAGTCAGCATCGACTCAATGAACAGTGAAGTTGCTTTCTTGGCTTTTATTTCTTGTCACAGGGAGATGAGGCCTCAGGATGGGGAGGCAACATCAAGTCCATCAAAAGCAATTCACACAGTGTTAAAATCTAAGGTGCAGACTTTAAACACTGAGATGGGGCAAACTACCCAAGTATAGATGAGATGCCGCAGGTCCTAGCCTACCTCTGTTTATTATGCATGGTAGGTCCAAAGTGGAGAGAACCAGAAATTCTGTTGTTTCCCTTCAAAATTGGAGCCTTATTAAGGTGTGGTCTGATATTTGGAGAATAGGGCACAGGCCCTACCAGGAAGCATAGTAAGGAATATAAGCAAACACACAAGGTTCCTTTCATTCAAGGGAGCCATAACTCGGTGGAACTTTCCCCCCTTGCCTGTAGTTAGACCCAAGGTTTCTGAAGTTGGGTTGGCTGGCTGCGACCAGGGTGCATTCTCACCTCATCTTTCAGGCTCTTAGGAAACATAACACCCATGACAGGAGATCACTGAGGCTATAGAACCATTACTGTCAGGAGAGTACTATAGTACTTGGACTTCATCAGAACCACCGCAGTTTAACTTATCAACTTAAACTTATTCACATTCTTTTCCTCTCCCGTAGGTTCATTTTCTATTTATCCTCTTGCCTGCTGTTACCCACAAGAGTCATCATGTCTCAGGAAATGGATCAAGTGTGCTCTCCCACTTTTAATGAAGACGAAGACCTGGATATTGCAATGGCCTTTGCATCTCTGGAGGAGACCTCTTTATCTCCCTCCGATTCTCCAATGCCTGGTAACCTGGAGGAGGCTCCTGATGCTGCAATTGCCAGTGCTTCCCAGGGCCCTCAAAGTGAAATTGCATCTTCAACCAACATCACAGAAGCCTCATCAGAGAAATCAGATGAAGACTCCAACAGCGAAGAAGAAGATAGTTCAGGCACCTCAGATTCTCCTTCAGAAGAGATTGCACTCCAAGAGCCTCTTGATGAATTGGTGGCGTTGTTGGTGAAATTCCTGCTGTTCAAGTATCAAACGAAAGAGCCAATTACAAAGGTAGATATGCTGGAGGTTGTCATCAGAGAGTTCGGAGACCATTTCCCTGAAATCCTCCTGAAAGCCTCTGAACGCCTGGAGATAGTTTTTGGCCTTGACCTGAAGGAAGTGGATCCCATCAACCACAGTTATCATATGTTCATCAAGTTGGGCCTTACCTATGATGGCATGCAGACCAACGAAGAGGGCATGCCGAAGACCGGAGTCCTGATTCTTATCTTGGGTGCGATCTTCATGAAGGGCAACCGAGCCACTGAAGAGGAAATCTGGAAAATTCTGAATAAGATGGGGATATATTCTGGGCAGAAGCATTACCTCTTTCTCGATCCCAGGAAGTTCATTACCAAAGAGTTGGTGCAGGAAAAATATCTAGACTACAGGAAGGTGACCAATAGTCATCCCCCACAATATGAATTTCTGTGGGGTCCAAGAGCACATGCTGAAACCTCAAAGATGAAAGTTCTGGAGTTTTTGGCCAAGATCCATGGGACTGACCCAAGTTCTTTCCCATCCCAGTATGAAGAGGCTTTAAAAGATGAGGAAGAACGAGCCAATGGTGCAGCCATTCTGGAAGCAACCCTCAAAGCCTGGGAGGAAATGCCACATATTGCATTTAAATAATCAAGAGAATGCAATGTTATCTTTGGGCCCCAATACTAAATATGTAACTTCACGATTTACCCTTTATTTTGTAGACGGGTCTTACTTAAATGGTCCTTAGTAGTAGGTTTAGCTTTAGAATTTGTAAGTCACCTTTATTGCTGTTTTTGAGATTTAGAAGTAACCTCTCTCTTGTTCTGTAATAATGTATTGGGAAAACACCATTGTATTTTGTGATCCAGGATAAGCATTGCGATAGGCACTTTTCTGGAAGCAAGCATGGTATCACTATGGTATCAGCTTTAAAATTGGTGGGATCGAGAGAGAACAAAGTTAAAGATGATAAAACCATGGCTCCCTTGATATTGTTTTAGTGTAGTCTACAAAATTAGATTGACAGGCACATCGATTTTCTTGGCGTTTTCAAGATCATATGAGAAATAAAGTTTGATAAATTCCACTCCAAACTCGCTGCTTCATTTATTCCCAAACATTAATTGAGTGTTTGCTTATTGGAAAGCACTGTTAGTACTGGGTAAATGGCAGTAAAGCAATTTATTTTTTATTATAGGTTTTTAACATATAGCAGTACTAATCTTAGAAAGATGATATTAGAATATTAGTTGAAACCTAAAGAACAGGTTAAAATGAGTTAATAGGTGGGGTGGACAATCCTTATCAGTGTCAAATGTAAATATGTCAAGGTGAGATAATTCTAACTTTAAGCAACAGTAATTCCTTCCATGAGAATCTTCAGTTAACCAGGCAGTGGGCAAATTGAAACTGGTGAAGCTGAGCAAAGATAACACTTCCTAGGTGGTCTAAAGCAAAAACTACCCCCATCAAGAGCAGATGTTGAAATATTAATGAATAATCATAAATAACAAACCCCCTCCAACTCACTGCCCTTGAACCGATTCCAACCCCTAGAGATTTATAGGACAGGGTAGAACAGCCCCTGTGGGTTTCTGAAACTCTTTACAGGAAGAGAAAGCCTCATCTATCTCCCACTGAGTGGCTGATGGTTTAAAACTACTGACCTTGTTATCAGCCCCAAAGTAAACATTATGCCACCAGGTCTCCTAAATAAACATCTACATAATGTAAATTCTGTAGTCTTTATAGCAAAAGCAATTGACATCAAGTTGATTTCAACTCATAGTGACACTACAGACAGTATAGAACTGCCCCAAAGGATTTCTAGGCTGCAAATCTTTACAGAAGAAAACTGCCACGTTTTTCTCCCACAGAGTAACTGGTGGGTTTGAAACACTCATCTTTTGGTTAGCAGTCAAGTACTTTAACCACTGTACCACCAGGAAGTCCCTCTAGGAAGTATAAAATGGTTCTTTGGTAGACATAGTTCAACAACATTCCTTTGACTCTTGTCTGTATAACTGCTTTGTGGGAAATTTTTGGTTTTCTGAGTGCCTAATCGGACCTGTTCAGACAGGCATTTGCAATCAATTGGTACATTATACAAGATTTTGAAGATGCAATAAGTGGACATTGGAAATTTTCAATATACTGTGACTATAGAGGTTATTTAAAAAGGAAGTGAATGTGATATTGAGGGAAATAGGATAAAGCACCTCTGCAGAGATTTACAGGGTCCTTTTGAAAAATAAAGGCAACCCTAGTATCAAAAACATCTGTTCCATAGTAACCCACTGCCACTGATCCTATTTGGACTCATAGAGACCCTATAGGATATAGGTCCTTGAAAACGGAAATTTTCAAGGCAAAACGAATTCTCAGAAACCCCTTGAAGAAGCAAAAAGGGTTGATGTAACAACCAAGTATAATTGAAAATCCTGAAGAGCTCAGATGGCACAGTAGTTACTAAAAGATCGGCACTTTAACCAACAATGAGGGACAAAGATGTGGCCATTTGTCCCTGTAACAATTTACAAACATTGAAACCCTATGCAGTAGTCTACTCTGTTCTATAGGCTAGGCATCAGAATCTACTTGATGGCAACAGTTTTTGTTCTGTATTTTTCTGTTATGCATGAGCATTCACATTTTTTAAAAGAAATTTCCAGAGCTGATTAACGTCTTTCACTTCTTCTGGGTACATGAGAAGACTACTATGCCCCGTTTACTTGTTGTAAGCAACTTACCCTTGCCTCTGAAATATAAGACATATAATAAGAAAAATGTTACAGTATACAGCATTTGAGAGTTAGCATTCCATCACCATCCTTTCTTTGCCATTCAGTAGCAAACTTGGAGACTTCATGTAAAGATATGGAACTACAATATGGAAGATGTCCTGACAATGTAGACAAATCACAATCTTTGCAATAAAAAACTCACTGCCATCGAGTTGACTGCAACTTACAGTGACCCTATAGGGTAGAGTAGAATTGTTCCAGTGAGTTTCCTAAGCTGTAAATCTTTATGGGAGCAGAAAGCTGCCTCATTTCCTGTGCAGTGGCTGGTGGTTTCCAACCACTGATCTTGAAGTTAGCAGCCCAGCTCATAACCCAACACAACATCAGGACTTTCTTTTTTTTATTTTTGAGTATAGATTTGAATAACAGTGTAACGGCAACAAATGGTAGTTTCACCAATACATTTTGTATTACTATTACATTAAGATCAATTGGACTCATTCACTTATAATGGATTTTTAGTAACATCTGGAAGATGTTGGTTCACCAAGTAATGTAATACACATTATTTCTAAATGTTTGCAAGCCATCACTGAAGAAGCTCATAAGTTAATGTCACCATCTATCTCAACAGAAGAGAAGCTGGTGGCAAGAAAGTGTTATCCACAATCTTTACTGCATAGTAATGTACATTTTGTCATGGCAATGAACACTGCCAGTTGTTTATTTGCAGGAACAGGCAGTTTGAGAACATGCCTGCCAAGTGACTATATTGATACAGTCATCACCAGTCTGCTCATTCTTTCAACAATGGTCTTTAAATAAAGTAGGTCAACACAGCTCAATCCCAAAAGTGCTTTCTGCAATTAAACCATCATATTTGGGTCTGCAGCAAAGCCTTTTAAATAGCCTTCCCAATTTGTCACATTGTTACTAAAATGATGTGTATTCTAGGATCAAGACCCAAGTAATGATTTTCACCTTTGACTACATTCATATTTAAAAAACAATATTCTATGTATTCCTTTTGCTTTCGTTTGTAAATCAATGAATTTGTAATTTTGTGTTTTAGTTTCCCTTATTGACTTGTAACTTTATTCTCTTATGGTCATATTAGACACAAGTTCCAGTTTTTTAAAATTTACTTAAATTTACTGTGTCTAAAACTAGTCTACACCAAACACATGTACAATGAAGTAGTGTGTGTACTGTGCTGTTGAGTGGTGTGCTTTACATCTGTTAAGTCCAAATGGCTAACGTTATGCAGGTCTTCTGGTTCATTATTCCCTTTTAAAACCGTTCCATCCACCATCAAAAAAGGTGGTACATATGGCCTTCTGTCTAATAATAAACTTTCACTTATAAGTTGTAATATATTAACATTGCCACTGTTCGCTTTGTATTACTGCTTACTTATTATAGTCAAGTATCCACCCGCACATCAATCTATTTATGCACCTGTGCTTAAGGTGTGCCCCTTGTCATATACATGTGTCATATTTGTAGCAGGACTCTTTCATTACACTATTCACTCATAGTTCAGCCTCTTCCTCAGACACAAACCACAATTAACAATCCTATATGTCATTTTAATGTTCGTTATAAATTTTTTCATACATAAATAAGCTATAAAATATATCGTGATGTTTTAAAATCTCATGGCTGGTGATGGACATAGTTTTCGACTTCTCTTTTCCACTCAATACAATAAATGCGAGATTTCTCCATGACAACAGATATCAATCTATTTTACTTAAGTAACTACTCCCATAACATGTATATACCATGATTAATTTAAACATTGCCCTCCTGGTGAACACATACATTGTGTTCTGTTTATTGATATGAGCATTAAACTGTTAACAATATTTTGAATGGGGATTCATGGGGTGATATGCATGCTTTTTTATATGAAAGTCACTTTGTTTACAAAGGCTGCCATAAAAAATACCAAAAAAAGGTGACTTTAAAGAATAGATATTTCTTTTTTTACAGTTCTGAAGAACAGAAATCTAAATCAGGATCATGTCCAAGACAATTTTTTCTGTGCATTTTGAAAGAAGGGAATTGTTTCATACCTAGTTCCTGGCAGCTTCAAGCAATCCTTGGCATTTCCTTGTTTGTAGATGAATCTGCTTTTGCATAGCCTGGTGTGACACAGCACCTGGTAGTGTTGTCAGTTGTTGGACTTCTAATGGCAAGATAGGTGGTTCAAATCTACCAGCCACTCCACAGAAGAATGATGAGACTGTCTGCTCCCGTATAGACTTGTAGCCTCAGAAATTCTAGTACCATCACTATCAATAGGAATCGTCTCGATGGTGGTGGGTTTTCTTAGTCTATTATAGCATTACTTAATTGATTATATTTTCTAAATACTCTATTTCTCCAAACAAAGCCACATTCATAGGTGCAGGAGTTAAGAATTCAACATATCTTTTGGCAGGGTGGGAGGGGGGACACAATTCAATCCATAGCAGAGAGATGTAACAAAATGGAAAATAGGATAGGATAGAGAGTGTATTATATATGTCACAAATCTGAGCCAATGAGACAGCAATTAACAGAATAAGTAGAAAACATTTTATCGTAAAATGCAAAACCAATTCATATTCTTTTTTTTAATTGTTTTATTAGGGGCTCATAGAACTCATCACAATCCATACATACATCAATTGTGTAAAGCACATTTGTACATTCATTGCCCTCATCATTTTCAAAACATTTGCTCTCCACTTAAGCCCCTGGCATCAGGTCCTCTTTTTTTCCCCTCCCTCATGAATCCTTGATAACTTATGAATTATTATTTTGTCATATCTTGCATTGTCCGACGTCTCCCTTCACCCACTTTTCTCTTTTCCGTCCCCCAGGGAGGAGGTCACATGTAGTTCCTTGTAATCAGTTCCCCCTTTCCAACCCACTCTCCCTCTACGCTCCCAGTATCGCCACTCACACCACTGGTCCTGAAGGGATCATCCACCCTGGATTCCCTGTGTTTCCAGTTCCTATCTGTACCAGTGTACACCCTAATGTAGTGAATACACCAAGCACATACAGACTTTTATCAATAAAACATTCATTGAACATGGATAAACCTTAAAAGTATATTGGTATGTGAAAGAAGCCAATCTGAAAAACTGCATACTGCGTTATTCCAATTATATGACATTATAGAAAAGGCAAAACTAGAGAGACAATAAAAAGTTAAGTGGTGTTAAGGGTTAAGGAAGAAGGAGGAATGAATAGAAAGAGCACAGGGTTGCTATATGTCTAGATTGCCTCAATGACTGTGTGTTTTAAGCCAAAGGAAGAAGGAATCATAATAGTTTCATAAGTGGTATCT